AGTTAAAGTTAATAAGGAAACTTATTACACCTTTGTTATGTAACTGCACAAAACTAACATGAATTTTTATCTGTTTTACCTCTTAATGCAAACCCAATTCCTACAAAAAGCCATCTCACCCAAGAGAGGAGTACTTCAAAGTTGATGAGTCTTGGGGTCAATTTTAGCTCAAGTTGCAGCCTGCTCACTTTCAGGAGGAGGAGAGGGGAAATCACTCATTTGTAGACAGTTCCACAAATCCATCGGAAGGAGAGGCAGACAAATTCTCCTTCCAGGGCCTAGGTGAGATTTATAGCAAGTGTCAGCACAAAGAGCCATGGAATAGATCCTGTAACAAATACCCATAGCATTCACAGCAAGTTTGTCTCGGGATGGTTGATCTTCAGAGGGGAGTTCAGAGTGACAGGTCACTTGGCTTTCTTGCAGCTGATGCTGTGATTCATTTTGTGGGAATATAATAAACAAGATCAGCTGCCCCCGAGCATTTACTGTAAGATCACAGGAACTGGATTTACAAAATGAGGAGAGCTGCATAAATATAACAAAGATCAAACTTCTCAGGTGCTAAAATACACAATATCTGCCTCCAAAACAATTTTTCCCTGTTTTGTTTCACATGGGATACAACCACTACAGACTACAACCAGCGGCAAAATCCAACAGTAAATACATCTGCCCAAAGTCACTTCACACTTGCCTTCCATAAGAAAAAAGCAAATAATTTGATAGAAATTACATCTCTCATTTTTCTGGTGTGTCACCAAAATGACCATGAAGGCTTGACTCATTTCAAAAACAAAGGGTAGCTCACTGCTACAGTCGATGCCCGTCTCACTTTCCTTGCCCACCGAAGCTGAGGTTATAGCATAACCACTACTCCTAGACAAAACTTCTCTCTGTGGTGCTTCATCACTAGCGCCCCTTCTCATGGAAACACTGCGTAGTGGTGTATTGGCACTATGGAACTATCATCTATTGGCACTGTGAAATATTGGCCTAGGGACCACCCAGCTGTACAGGTTCTAGCTGCCGAGGTACCTTCTGCCCCTTTCTGCACCACCTTCCCACCAGCCACTTCTAGACAGGATCATTTGCATGTTCTTTCCCTCCCCTAGCTACAAGAGGAGGTTAGGCCATGTCCTCCTCTTTCATGTTCTCACCATCAATGCACACCTCCACCCAAGTGCTTCAAGAAGCAAAATGACATCTTCTTTGGTTTCTCTGCTAGCATGAGTCTCCTCTTCTGTAAGATACTGAACCATGACACATGACCGCGTGCTACCCACACTGCTCTTCTCCTCCTTTCTTTATCACCTACAAAGATCTATAGAAAGAGCGACTACTTGGTCTGACTGTACCAGATGGCAAAGCACAGCAATATAATCTTAGCGCAGCGTTTAGATGAAGTGCAGAATTGCCTCATAGCGTTAACATCTTCTTGTCACCCACTAACATGTCCATGCCACCATCACTACTTACAAAAAAGCCATTGTACGTCATTGTCTTGTTTTCCATACCTGGAACGTTACTTTCTCCATACCTTCTCATTCTCCTCACTTCCCCACTCTCGTCTTTTTCTCTTAGTAATATAACAAATGGAGAGTCCCACAAACTAGAGACCCCATTCCTGGGTTTCATTCTCCTGAAATGTCTGTAAGCTATCCTGTGTACACACACACACACAAATACATATGTCTGTATGTGTATACCTATAACTTTCTTCAATTCTTATGCTTTAATCCAGAATTAATGACTCTGTATTAATCCTGACACCAAGATGTTAGAAGTTCACAAAATATTAAAAATAATGAGATAACCTGTTCACAAAATACAGGGCTTGAAAAAGGACACAGAGAGTCTTCAGTCACAGAAATATACTGAAGATGCAACATCAGCAGCACTTTTAAACCCAAAAGGTTAAATTTGAAACATCATTATTTCTTGAGAGCATTATTTTGAAGAATTCATTGTTGAGGAAAGTACTGAGTTTTATGTTCATGGCTCTACCGCTACATTTCTTAAATTAAGCTCATTTCCTTACCCCCATCCTTCCACCCCCATAAACATCAGCTCATTATTTTAAAAATGCACAATGAATAAGAAAGAGGCAATTTAAGATGAGGCACTGTAGAAAGTCACTGTGACGAGTGTTCAAAGACTGAATCAGTACATGACTTCCCTGTTCTTTTACTCTTCCTTAGGTATCTGCTTTTGGCTACTTTTCTGATTTCTCCTTGATGCTTGACCCTAATGCAACCTCTCAGACCTCCTCGGGAAGTGGGAAGCTACAGGGAAAAAAAAGCCACAAAGAAAAAAAGTGTTTCCAGCACCTCCTGCCTGGCTTTGGATAACCTTCATCCTCCAACGCTACTCAAAGCATGTCATTTGTTGAGAAATACAGCTTTAGACTTTTTGGTTATCATTAATAGCTGCTTTTACACAATATTGGTTTTCCAATTAAACTTAGAAAAATCGCAAGTTCCTTGCTAGCAATTAGTTCTTCTCCCAGGCAAGACGCAGGCTACCTACAGTAGGGAACCAGTGTTTGTTGTGAGTATTTGTCGTGTCTGCAGTAAGCCATTCTTCAACCCTGCAATGACTGTGGATTAAATTAGATCTGCCAAAAATTTCTATCCAATTTCTATTAGCATCATATTATTCCTAATTAGCATAACTGTTGCAAATGTGTATAGTAAAACATATATCTAACTTGACTCAGTCTTTTGCAAGGCACATTCCCTGACTGAAATACTCTGTGCTAAAAAAAGACCACAATGTCATGAATGTAGGAAATGAATGGTAGGATACCTGGTGGAGAACCAAGATAGAGTCCTAGAGAAAGTAATTCTAGATTAACACACTCAACAGTTTGTTGGGTTTTTTTCTCTTCATGTTTCACAAAGAAATATAGAATTATTCATGTTGGAATTGCCTCAGAAGGTCATCCAGTACTCACAGCAGGCTTAACACTGAATGCAGACCAGATTACTCAGGGTTTTATCCAGTTGGGTCTTGAAAACCTTCAAGTATGGAAATTCACAACCTCATGGGCAACCGGCTCCACTGCTTAATTACCCTGATTTCCTTGTACACATTGACCCTGATGTTAATTTATATTGTATAAAGTTGAACTCTCCCATTTCAAGTTGTTATTGTCTTTTGTCCTCCCCATATACATCGCTGTAAAGAGCATGGCTCCATCTACTCAGTAACCGTCGGGTAGCTGCTGTTAGGTTCCTCCAAAACCATCTCTTCTGCAGGCTGAACAAGCCCTGTTCCATTAACCTCACCTTGCAGGGCAAGTGCTCCAAGCCCTGACCCTCTTGATGGCCTTTCATTGAACTCCCTCAAGTTCACTGATGTCTTGAGAGAGTCCAAAACTGGACATAGCATAGCAGACATGGTCTAAGGCATGCCAAGTAAAGGGGAATAATCACTTCTCTCAACCTTCTGGCTGCTGTCCTGTTGAAAGAGTCCAGTCTGCTGCTAGCCCTTCATTGTTTTGTGCTGATCAAGGATGAGGATGTAGCTCATTCTTGATTTCTTACTCAATCTTTGTCCTGTTTGCTGACTCTGTCAGCACAGGTGCCAAGTAACACCAAACAGCTGAATGAGCAAAGCAGAAGGGCAAGATTTTCTGCCCAATTTTGCAGTCTGTCTTCACTTCATATAAATGGAAGATCAACTGCCCTGTTGGGATATTGCTTCCTTGTATCATGTAAAACCATATAAACAACCTGTTAGAGTAAGAGAACTGCAATGACAACGTGAGTCTTCCATAGTCTTAGGCCGTTTCTCTATATATCTGAGCTATAGGTAACAAACCATCCAAGCAAAGTCACCAGTTCTGTTTTATCTCTTCTGTAGTGCTCTAGTTGTTATTCTTTTTGCATCAGAAATTGTTCATCCCAGAAAATACCATGAGGGTGTGGGATCCTCTGGATGAATTTCAATGCAAAGATGCAGCCAGACATAGCATTATACAGTCGGAGTTTAGCAGCCAAAGTGTACACTTGTAACCAGGGACACAAATAAAAGGCAGCTGCAAGAAGAGGTTCTATTTCAATGGGAAAGCAGGGTTTTCCACCTAAAATGCGACAAGCCAATAGTGCAACAGGAAACACAAGATATTCTCAGTCCTCATTCAGTTTACAAGCATAATATCAAACCTCCTCTATCTAACATGCCAGCACAGTAATGAAACCAAGACAAAAAGATGAGCAAGCCTACTTCATCCAAGATGTCCGAGTACCAATATACACATATTACATATCTCTTTGCTTCAATGAAAATACTTACAGAATGTATGAGCAATTTTTTTCCACTAAAGTTTAAAGAGGAAAAAGCATTAGGATTTTACCCAGCATACCCAGAAAAGGCTTCAATTTTTAAGGGGACTATAGAAGCGGGATTTGAAGTTGGGTCGCTGAATCTCAAACTCTGAATCGCCTGGAAATGCACTGACAACCCCATGGTACCCAGAATTTCCAACACATTTTTGCTGGCAGGCACTGATGCCTGTCTGCTGTGATTGCCTGAAGCAGCCCTTCGCTTAAGAGCCATAAGAAAACATAGCAAGCATATATGCCATAGTGTATTGCTTTACCCACCATCACTGTATCTAAATACTTAGAAAGCACCTCTCTATGAACACTTTACAGGGAAACTTTTGAACACTTTTGAACACTCTAAGAATACTTCTGTATTTTCCCATATTCAAGGAAAATATATTCGTCTTCTGTGAAAAGGGGTTCTTGCACAGTTTTACAGCTGGTTTGGGGTTTTTTTTTAATTTTTCATCAAATCCTGTTTGCATTCATAGATCTCTACTGGGATTAGTAGCAGATAATTTGAGCAGGAATAGTGAGGAGAAATACACAGTGGTTTTAAAAACCAGAAACGGTGCTTGTTTATGGTAATATTTGCAGCTCTTCCATCTAAGTACCCACACAGATTGCACATACTCCCACAGAGATGGAAATTAATAATATGTGAAATACCTGTGCAGCTTGAGCGTCACAGTTCCATAAACAGTAGCAAAGCCCAGAAGACGAACCCATCTTAGGAGAACACAGCGAAATACACTTGGCTCAAAATACAAAATGACAACCTATAGAACAGAAAGATAGAGAGAGCTTCAGTACCGCTTTCATGCGAAAGTAGTTCTTCATTCAAATGCAAAATAGTTGCAAAACAGGCCAGCAGACATATTTCAGCTCGTACTGCTGTATATTTAGATTTTCTAGTAAAGTGAAGGGATGATCAGATCAACCACTTGGCACAGTTCTAGGCACCAACTCCTTCTGCAGGGAGCTGGCACAAGCCCTGTGACAGACTGTGAAGTGACAACACTTTTAAATGCAATTCCACTGACTTTTCTTAACCGAGTGAAAACATGTACGCAGAGAAGAGGACAGAACAGACAAGGACATTTTCCTTGAGCTATTCCAGTAATATGCAGCTGGCCTAATTCTGGTTTGATGGACTGTATTTACTAGGTTACACTTCAAAGTCACTCCTTCTAATAAACCTAGCAAAATGATAGCTGCTCATTTTTCTCTGTCAACTATTCTGCCACACTAAAAATGATTGCAGTAGCCTCTCTGTCCAAAACCCAAAAATCTCCATGTCATATTTGACTATTTCTTATTCTTCCCAATGTATTTTTCCTGCGCTATACCAAACCTCACTATGCATCATCACTTTCTTAACAAAAATAACTCTTTTGTTCACTTATGGATTTCTCTAATCACAACAGAAAGGTTTTGCTCTATCTATCAAGTACCATGCATGAGGACAACACTCAATAAACACTAACGTAAAGCTACTTCTGCAGGTATAGCACGTATAAAAGCATCATTATCAAGTAAAATGCCACCCTTATCAAAAACAGGGCTGCTCAAATGGTGGACTTAGTCATGATCTGAACCAGGAGTCCATTTCTTCTCGTTCCAACAGATGTTGTCCCTGGTGTCCTGAGGGATGATCCCATATTCCTTCCCACTCACCCGGCCCCACCAGGAGCCATCTGTCCCAGAGATTCGACTGTACATTGCCCGTACCCCACTTGCAGACCCTGCTTGGTCCAGCAAAGCTAGATCCAGTGCATCCCACCCATCTGGCCAGAACCTGGTAAAACAACCCACTGCACCGTAGTACAAATTAATTGGGTAATCCTGGTCTAGAGAAAGAAAACACTGAAACATTTCAGGCCATCTGCCACAGCTTCATTTAGAGTCAGTACATTCTGGCAGTAGAGGTAGTATTGTGCCTACCGGCTGCCACATGATCTTATTTTCCTAAGTAAAAGCTTTTCTATGTGGGAATTCAAGCCCAGGATATTGGCCAAAAGCCCAGGACTACGTCCTTTGGGTGACATAAACATATTTAGGAGAGTGGGGGCAAAAATGGCAGACATGTGGGCTGAGAGAAGAAGCTGCTGTGCTTTGCTGGTATCCTTTTTTACAGCAGAATCAAGTTATTTCTTTAAAAAATATGGTTTGTTGAATCAAACCATGGTGCAAAAATTAATCTGTTTTTTTCACTATTATTGGACTGATGTGTTTCAAGGCAGACATCTTCTGGGAATCTGACAAATTCTGCATGTAGGGAAGGGAACAGCGTGGAGCAAAAGGCCCACTTGTCCGTGGAAAAATCAGCTAGGAAACCAAAATGCATCCACGCATGCATGAACATGCTTGTGTAAATAGAGAGTCCAGCAAGAAGTTTCTCAGAAAGACCTGAATGACAGTAATGACCTCTTGTCCTAATATACAGTCACACACATTAGGACAGCTGCAGAACCAGAGCAAAGTCTGTAGCAGTAACCTGCCTCCTGAGGTTTGCCAGGGGGTAGAAAACACCCTGTTTCATCTTTGATTCTTCCAAACTAGCAAAACAGTGCCAAAAAATACTGGCATGCAGACACTCCTAATATTTCAAAGTTGATCTGAAAGCAGAATTTTTCAGATGATTGAAATGGGAAGGTCTGAAAACTTTCCAGGCAGAGAATTTTCTGAACAAGGGCAACAGCTCTCTTTTTGCCATGAAATCTGACACAGTGATTCTATCTGCAGTTGCTTGTTGAAATATTAACCACTTGTGTCTAGAAAATCTCATTGATTTGCATTGAACCATTTGTATGAGCAGCTGAGGCATTTGGCTAGCTATCAACCAAGAAAACACCACTTCCAATGCAGCATGGTGTGAGCCGGCATGTGGCAGCTCGTTGTGAAGGTTGCAGAGGCAAGGCTCTGTTGGCAAAAACTGTTCACATTTCCCCATTTGAGTGTAGACACTTGTGAACTACTCCTTCCCAGTGGTCAAGTACATTGTGGAGGCTGTCAAAGACTTGATCCAAGTTTGATTCCCTTCTGGGTCTTTTGAAAATCTCTTCCTATGTTTGTATGACGGAAAATAGTTGCAATGCCCTCCCAAGGGCCAACATCCATTTCTACCTATTCTTTCATAACTTGCATGTGATCTGGCATGGACCAAGGCTTTGAACAGCAAGAATTGCTCTACCTAGGTTTTGCTTGCTTCTTAGGCTTTCCAGAAGGTTATTCTAAGAGTATGTCCTTCCCATCAGGGCTGTTCAGTTGACTGCCCTCTCTAAGCTTTTGTCAGCATTAAGTCTCAGGGAATTTTAGGGACACAATTTTTAAATTGAATAATCTTTAATGGATTGGAGCCAAGGGGCTACAGAAACACTGCCCTGGAAGCTCAGAAGACCAAAAGCCACACTCAAATTTTTCATCTTAGTGGAATCAGAGTCTTGCAAAGAATATATATCTCTGGTGAAAAGTATGGCTGCTGCACTCCATCCCTCACTCTCCCTACCTAAAAAACAAACAAAAAAAGAAGCATAACACAGAGAAGTCTTGGGTTTGTTTCATATGCAGCAATAGGTTTCTCAGCTCCAAGCTGGGAGTGTAGGATGAACACAGGATTCACCCACATACCCAGGCTGCTCTGAAGAGAACAAGGGAATCCCTCTGCAGTTCTAAAAGACTACTCTGTCCACCAAAAATCTGTCAATAATTCATTTTCCCTTTTTGCTTTTATAATGCATTAGACCATGACAGCAACATAAATCTCATTAAAAATGCTTAGAGGGTTTGCTGATGGATGTCACAAAAACTATTTACTGTACATAAGGAAATGTGATATCCTCTGTTTTGCCAGCTCCTGAAATCCATTTAAATACTAGACATCAGTTTCTGTTCCTTAAACAGCAAAGATCTGGGGAAAAAATATTTGGAAAGCAGAAGAAGGGAAGTCAGACAGTGCCTGCTCATGTACCAGTTACTGCAGCTGTGCGTGAGACTTCATAAACTGTGGCTCATCTTTGTCATTTGGACAAATGCATTTTGATGTTTGCTTTTAACCTCAATGTGTTTTAAGCTATTATTACCCTTGCCAAAACATTGTCCCAGTAGTCACGCTACCACTTGTGGAGTTGGAGATGAAAAGACTTTCTAAGGTCACCAGCTAACTGTCAAGTATGTTTAGAGATGGAGAATTACGGACATGGAAGAGAGACCTAGCTTGCTGACACAGCGTTCAGCCAGCTTGGTTATTCAGCTGACATGATGAACAGGCACACACGCGCTCTAAAGACAAAGGTTAAAGTCGATACAGGCACCTCGCCCACTATGGCAAATTTTTGTTATCAGGACAGGTAGGACAGTAAAAGTGCAAAGAGAACTAACGTTGAACAATTTAATGCTCAAAGCATAACAGACATGGTCCTTACAAAAACTGAGCAAATAATGAATTTTATAACCTCAGTGGCATTGCTTCTTAAAAGATATACAGCATTTAGAAAAATTCTTTAAAAAAATTTTTAAAAAGTAGAGCTCTATAATGTTAATAGCAAGCAATACTTCTATGGAACATAAAATATTCTTTTGTTTTTCAGATTAACTTTACTGTGCACATTATAAGACAATTAATTTTGCCCTTCACCTTGGGCACCAGATCTAGGAGAAAATATTTTAATTAATATTGTGCAGTTCCCCAAGGTGCACTGACCAGGATTCAGTCTGCCTAAATCGGGCATGTAATTTCCACCTATGTTGTAGGGGTCTAGTAAATTAGCCCTACTTCCATAGATAACCCACGGATAAAGGCGCGAACCTTGAAGAAGTTCAGGACTTCAGCTACTTGGACAGAATCGTGGCCTAAAGGTGTCACACACATATCACCACTGGCTAGAAAGGTACTACAGATTTATTTTAGGGAAGTTGCTTCACTATATGTCAATTAATAATCAGGATTAGGAGGACTAAGACAAACTCTCTGTAACCAGCTCTAAGAATTTTGTAATGTATTTAAGGCAAGTTGCTTTTTACTTTGATTCTTAAGTCATAAAAATCACATGAATAGATCAAAAACTCATTTTCCTTTTCAATCATCAATGGGCAAAGCTATAATGTCTCAAAAGATCAGAAGCCAAAGAACAAACACTTAAAAAAATACATGGAATTGTCAGTGGTACAAATCCTAAACCTAAACATGAGAAATTTTGAGCAGAACCTTAATTCAAAAATCCCAAAGTTTTCACTTTTGAACTCTTCTTATTTTTGCCCTCAGTTGTAGAATCATAGAATCATAGAATGGTTTGGGTTGGAAGGGACCTTAAAGATCATCTAGTTCCAACCCCCCTGCCATGGGCAGGGACACCCTCCACTAGACCAGGTTGCCCAAAGCCTCATCCAACCTGGCCTTGAACACTTCCAGGGATGCGGCATCCACAACTTCTCTGAGCAACCTGTTGCAGTGCCTCAACACCCTCAAAGTGAAGAATTTCTTCCTAATACCTAATCTAAACCTACCGTCCTTCAGTTTAAGGCCATTACTCCTTTTCCTGTCACTATGTGCCCTTGTAAACAGTCCCTCTCCAGCTGAAGGTCCCTTCAGGTACTTGAAGGCTGCTATAAGGTCTCCCCGGAGCCTTCTCTTCTGAAGACAGGCTGAACAACCCCAACACTCTCAGTCTGTCCTCATAGAAGAGGTACTCCAGCTCTCTGATCATCTTTGTGGCCCTCCTCTGGACTCCCTCCAACAGCTCTATGTCTTTGTTGTGCTGGGGCCCCCAGAGCTGGACGC